GGCTGTGGTGGCTGTGAGAGTGCCACTGCCCCCCCAGCCTGGGTGACAGAGTAAGACTCCACCTCAAACAAAACAAAACAAAACAAAACAAAACAAAAAAACTCATTACCCCTGTAGAAAACATGGACTTCTCAATTTTGTTTGAATATACAAGGGGAGCTCCAAAAACCAGAATTATCTTTTGAAGAGTAGGTCCCTGTAGTACACTCGAAATTTGTTCTGCCAGATCAAATGATCAATCAAAGCTTTTAGCTGGAAGTTTTGAGAAGTTTGCCTCATGATTTGCAGAAGAAGCATCCCAAATTGTGGCAAACAGGTAACTGGTTCTTCCACCATGACAACCACCTGCCCACACAGCACTGAGTGTTCAGCAGTTTTTGACCAAAAAACGACATGACTCCGAGCCCCTCCCTTCCTATTCACCCAATCTTGCCCCAAGTGACTATTTTTTTAAGTGACTATTTTTTTTGCTTCCCCAGATGAAAAAAGTCCTCAGAAGAAAATATTTTGCCGATGTGGAAGAGGTGAAACAAAAAATGACAGAAGCACTAAAAGGCATCCAAATTGACGAATTCTAAAACTGTCTTGAGCAGTGCAAAAAGTGTCTCTATAGTGTATTACATTAAGAGGAGAGTACTTTAGGCTGGGCGCAGAGGCTCATGGTTATAATTCCAGCACTTTGAGAGGCCGAGGTGAGAGAATTGCCCAAGCCCATGGGTTCAAGATCAGCCTAGGCAACTTGGCGAGACCTCATCTCTACAATAATAAATCAAAAAATTAGGCAGGCATGGTGGCAAGTGCCTGTAGTTCCAGCTACTTGGAAGACTGAGGAGGAAGGATTGCCTGAGTCCAGCAGGTGGAGGCTGTGATGGACAGGAGCGTGCCACTGCCCTCCAATCTGGGTGATAGAGTGAGACTCCAACTCAAAAAAATAAATAAAATAAATAAATAAATGGGGAGTACTTTGAAGGTTATTGAAGTTTAAATATGTAAGAATTAATACACAATTTTTATAAATAAATTTTGGATTTTTGGGGTCCCCCCTTGCAGTACAAATGAAAAGATAAAGAAATTAAAGAGACATTTAACTGCCATACAAACTAATAGGATGCAATTATCAGCCCCCTTTTTGATCTGGGATAAAAATCAATATATACTAATCAGCACTGAAGTCAAATCGGGCTATATTAAAATGCACAACTGAAAAATATGAAGCTTCTACAACAGAAAATTAAATACTGCTCATATCATTTCCTATGTAAAAAAGGAGGAAGCAATGTCCTACAGGTACATATCATAATTAATCTTATATACAATAAACAATATCTTTCAAGACTTGAAATATAGCAGATTTCATTTTTAAAATTCCAACACTAATACTGAAATCACTAGACATCAAGAAATTTTCTTCCTGTTCTGAATATTTTATCTTAATGTATTTCACCTTTCCATAACTAGTTTATGCCACTTGTCTTGCAGGGGCTTTTCAGATTTATGAGGGAGAAAAAAAAGTAGCAACACACAAATGAGATCTAGAAAAGCACACGATAGCTATAAAAACAGTTCATCCATCATCTCTACATTTTGATTCCAGAGACAACAGTGAAAGGTGTTGTTTCCACACCACTCACCCAGCACACTTAAATAGGTTTGCTCCATCACTTATACAACTGAAACTCATTGATTAACTGCTAGAGAAAAATCAATACAAATATCCTAGAAAAACTAGCTTGTAAAATCATTCTGGTCCCAACAAAGTCCTGGTCACTGCTTGACATGTATTTCTAGATATCTAAAATGCAACCATGTCAAACTCAGCAGTCCCAGCCCCCAGATACTGTTAATCCTAGGAATTTTTAAAACCTGAGACTCAGTTGAGGGGAGGAAACAAAGAGGAAGGTTTCCCAATGGTCTGAGAAAACACTGGGATAGAACCCTGAATTTACCTGGTCAATCTTAAACTCATATGCAGAAGTCTCTCCAAAAATGAAAAATACATTGAGAAGGTAAAAATTGTCAATGAAAATGTCAAAGGGACTAGATTAAGAGAGAGAAACAAACAAAAAAGCTACGCAACCAACTAAATAGATATATTCTACGTAAAAAGAAACTGAAGTTACTATTTAAAAATAATTTTTACTTTAATGCTGTCCATTCAAAAGTTAACGAGCTCTCTTTCTCATTTTTTGGCAGCTGAATGCATGGTTGCATATCTTTAGTACTTTAGGAAACCATTTTAAATTCTGAATGATTTCATGATTATTTCAGAACCTCTTCTGAATGCTTATGTGCCTTTGGGTTGGCCTTTAGTCTCTTTATTCATTAGACCAAAAGAAATAAATTTTTATGAATATAATATGTCTCATAAATATGCTATTCAGAACAAAATTATGATCTCATTGTATATTCTATCATATGACAGGCAACTTGGGTTCTAATCCCCATTCTACAATTGGTTTACAGTTTTGAATAGGCAGGCGATCTAATCATGATAGAATACAGAATTTAAGCGTTTCTGGCCCAAAGAACACTTCTACCTGAATTAGCAAAGGACTAAATATGCAAAAATCATAGAAGAAAATGGGTTACTTCTATTGTATTTACTTTATAACTATTTTCTACAATTTTTAAGCTCAAACTTAGGACTCTTATAAGATCATTAAAATCCCGAAAAAAAGAAAAAAAAAAAGATAACGCTACTAATTCAATGTTTTTAAAATGTAAAGTTATATACTGGTATTTTCCATGGTGGAAAAAAATTATAAGGCCATCCTTAGTACGAATTTGCATTCCTTAAATTTTGAAAATGAAAAATAACCATCATACTAGTTTCTACCTACAGAAAAATTCTTCATAAGACATATTTTAGAATCAAAAGAAAAATATGTCATTTAATCTGTTATTCATGTCTCTGTTTTGGTATTAAAATATTCTAACCAAAAAATTAAGACTTCTCTTCCTCGATTCCATTTAAATTCCTTTAGTTTATATAGCATGTCTTCTTCATAATCTAGACACAGTCAGTTACTTCACTTATGTCATCTCAAATTTTTATTACAAAAAATACTAAGTGCTATTGTGATAAGAAAGCCACAGCTCGCAGAAGCCAGATGCCTTGTTCAGATCATATGATACATAAGCAACAGAGCAGTATTTCAAATCCAAACCCTGCCCTTAGCAGAGTACCAAATACTTGAGGATTGAACACACTGGCTTACCTCGAAAGTTAACTCACCAGTTCAAAAACTAGCATTCACATTCAACTCTAATACACAGATAACAAGACAACAGAAAAATCTTACACAGCAAATATTCCATGGTTGAGAATAAAAAGTGCATATCTTATTTATGATGATAAGAGTAATCTTCTAGTACAAATAGCCACTAAATCACTCCTAACCTCTGATATGCTCTTTTGAATCACTGACCTTAACTGGCCCAACTCACTTGGCTATGGCTATGACAAGGTTAACTATCTAAAGTCCTAGGGAAGCCACACTATACCCCAGTTGCTCAGAGGGAATTTTTAAAGATAACTCAGAGTGCTAAATTGGATATCTTTAGAAAAATTCTGTAATCAGTTTATAAAAACCATGGTTCTGTCTTTTTTTCTCAAGTCACAAATAATACATACATGTGTCCATATGAATCATAAAACAAGCATATCAAAATGTTAGCATAAATTATAGGTGAGGACAGATATGAAGAAGTGAAGGAAATATTTTCACTTCCTACAAAGTAATTTTATAATTGTATATTTTCTAAATGAATTTTCAGGTAAAATGAAATAGAAGATTTAAAGAAATTACATGCAGCTGCACTGAATGTTGGAAAAGTACTAATTTGTATGCCTTCCAATTTGCAGCATTGACAGATAGATCATCTATATTTACTATTCCCATTATCTGACAGATAAATGAAAAAACAAATACCAATTAAGAATACCAGTAAAGATATCATTTTTCAAATAGATTAGGTCTCAGGGAAGATATTTTGTCCCTTATTTTAAAAATCCTTAAAGTAGTAGTCATGTTGTAAAAGCAGTAACTACTGAGTCTTTTCCTTAGGACAGACAATAATCTGGCTCTAAAAATAGAACTCTGACAAGAGTTGATGAGTTTCCTTTATTTGTCTTCCAGTACTAGTTGAACATGAATGGAAGAGGGGGTTGGGTTTGAAAAATAAAAGTAGAGAAAAAAATATTGGAAGGAGCCAATAAATCAACCAAGGGTATATTTCTCTCATTAAAAGGAACATTTCAAATTCGTGTTGCCAAAAGCCTTATACAGACCATATTTAAAAAGTTTAGAACTCATAGTTTCTGAGATTCAGGGTTTGAAGTGCTGAAGGTAGCACTCCAAGTTACTTGCCAGAAGGAAAATTGCATCGCCAATAACTATTAACCTACAAGATTATGAGACAATAGGTTATCTCATGTTGGGAGAAAAAACATACCACTGTTACACAAATATATTATAAACAAAGACAAACGCGGAAGTTATGGTTTGAGCAGTTATATGTCAACACAACTGTGAGTCATGTTAAAGTAGGTCTTATTATATGCTGAGAGAGACCTAGATAATCGTATTTTCCAGCAAATGATGACTCAGAAGTAGCTGGCCACCCCATACAAAGCATTATCTCATTAGGACTCTCTCCCAACACCTCTTTTTACTGGCCTGGCAGTCCTATATATAAAAAGGGTAGTCTCCTTAATTAGGAAAATTTACCTTCTCCTTCAAAGACTCCTGGAAACACAAATTAACTTTCAAAATGGTCCAAAAATGGCAAAGAAAGGGACAAGAGATTGGAGTATTTCACTCAGTACACAAAAATCTTAACAGACACCAGAGGCTCATAGATTTCATTTTTAATTTTTGTCTTTCCCATGGAGTCTAGAGATGGATGATAGTGCTTGAAATAAGTCACTTATCTTAAAGTGATAAGAAAATGGAAGACCAGTAAAAGAAGAGTAATTAATGTAAATGTAACCTCAGTAATTAAATCTAGATACATTTTTCATCAGTAATACTGAAATATTTGTAAACTTTTCAGAAAGCTAAACAAGCAGATTGAAAGACTAATATAATTTATTAAGAAGAATAACTTCACATGTAATTCTAGAAACTCTTACCTTGAAAAGATTGCTTGGCTCTATCCACTAGTTCATCAATTGGATAACTGGCCAGATTTCCTCTGGCGTGTTTAGTTTTGCAATAGGTACAAGCATTGAGACACCTGTTGAAATGACAGCAATAAATGAAACTCAAATTTTTAAATACAGTATATACTTATGTTAGGGGGTGAGAACCCCCTCAAATTTACACTATCATGCAGTTTCAGAAACATGTGTTTAGTTTGTATAGCTACTATATCTCATATTTATTTTATTTCTACTAACAATTCAGAAATGTGCAGTTCTTTTCAGTTTCAATTACTTAAGAATGGCTGTACAAATCACATAACATTATCTAAAAATACACACATCAATGAAGAAAAAAGTTTAAAAAGGTTTACAATGGCTGGGCATGGTGGCTCACGTCTGTAATCCCAGCACTTTGGGAGGTGGAGGCAAGAGGATTGCCTGAGACCCTCGGGATCATGGCCAGTCTAGGCAACATGGTGAGATCTCGTCTCTACAATTAAAAAAAAAAAAAATCAAAAAAATTAGCTTGGTGTGGTGGCAAGTCTATGGTTCCAGTTACTTGGAGGTTGAAACAGAAGGACTGCCTGAACCCAGCAGGTCTAAGCTGCACTGGCCATGAGCCGGCCACTGCACTCTAGCCTGAGAGAAACAGTGAGGCTCAGACCAAAAAAAAAAAAAAAAAGGATTTACAATGATTAGCTGATCAAAAGAAATTCAAGGTCAGGCATGGTGGCGCAAGCCTATAATGTCAGCACTTTGGGATATCAAGGCAGGAAGATTAAGATCAGGAGTTCGAGACCAGCCTAAGCAACATAGCAAGACCTGGACTCCATTTTTTTTTTAAAGCAGAAAAATTGCCAGGTTTGGTGGTGTGTGCCTGTAATCTCAGATACTTGGGATGCTGAGGTAAAAGGACAGCCTCAGCCCAGGAGGTAGAGGCTGTGGTGAGCTGTGACTGTGCCACTGCACTCCAGCCTGGGTGACAGTGTGAGACCTGTACTCAGAAGAAAAAAAAAAGAAAGAAAGATCCACATTATTCGTTTGTGAACCACTGACGTTTCTTTGGTCATAATATAATGAGAAAATTTTAGTATCACTTATACATACTGTACTATTCAGAAATAAAGAAGCACACTCATTTAACTTTTAAAGTAATGATGTAAGAATAAATAGGTAACTTAGCATTCCCACAATACACCTTTTGAAATTTTCAGATAATATTTCTCACTCTTTGAAATCAGAGAAAAAAAGCATGTCCAATGAATGTTCTCAGGGATTACATTAGTCAAAGTAAAAAAGTAGAATGACAATATTAACTTTAAAAAATATTTTTAAAAAAGACTTATTTCCCAATAGTCTTTAGCATGATAAATAACTGTCTTTTTAAAACTAAAATTTTGGTTCTATAACTTTATAATCTAATTTAAATAAATGTATTACTTCAAAATAAAAGAAATAATACTTCTATGCCAAAAAGACATGGTTCAACAATGTTGAACAAAAAATAAAAAAGAACATCTCTTCAGTGATTCAACTGCTATAATGAATAGCAAGGTTTTAAAAGAACACCATTATATAAATGCTTTACATTTCACACTGAGAAAAACTAAACTTTTAATAATTGAACCTGATCAATGAAGAATTTTATTAAAATATGACAAAGCAGGGGTCCCTGGGCTACACAGCAGGAGGTGAGCAGCAGGCGAATGAGTGGAGCTTCATCTGTGTTTACAGCGGCTTCGCATCACTGGCATTCATGCCTGAACTCTGCCTCCTGTAAGAGATGGTGCCATTGGAGTCTTATATGAGCATGGACCCTATTGTGAACCGTGTGTGCCAAGGATCTAGGTTGCGTACTCCTTATAAGAACCTAATGCCTGGTGATCTAAGGTGGAGCTGAGGCGGTAATGCTAGCACTGAGGAAGAGCTGCAAATACAGATAAACATCAGGAGTGAGGTTTGACTGCACAGAGACCATAATAAATCAACTGCTTGAAGACTCATATCAAAACCCATTCAGTGAGTGGCAAGTGAGCTGATGTAACTCAATTGTACATTTGCATTTGGTGGTGGCAGGCTTTAAGTTAGAATTCAACACTTATTTTAGTCTGTAAGTGACCTGCCCATTAATTTATTTACCACTTCCGTCCACTTCTCTTTTTTTTAATGGTATTTTATATAGTTATTTCATTATATATTACAATGTAATAGTAACAGAAATAAAGTGCACAACAAATGTTATACACTTGAATCATCTCGAAACCATCCTCCTCCAGATCTGTGAAACAACTGACTTCCAAGTTCCTGATGCCAAAAAGGTCGGGGACTGCTGATTTAAATATGAATCACTATCCTAAGCAGTTAAATATGCAATGCTTAATTTCTGATCATTCTGATCACACATTCTGAAATGTGTTTTACTATTTAACTGACCACATAAAGCTTAACTGATGAGACTTCTTTCCTCCTAAGAAATATTTTTCAAAAAGCACAAATTGTGACCTCTCATGAATAGAGGTGCTCATCTCCCAGTTGATGTACGTCTTCTCTGCATAATCTGTTCTTTCCATAACAACAGGAAGGAAAAAACGTTTGTGTTGTCCTCTCCCTGAGAGGGTAACTCACTTTTGTTTAGCCCCAACAGAGCACTAGACACTATTATTTATATTTTACATACATTATCTTATTTAATCCTTCAGAGTTAGGTGTTCCTATCTCTCCATCTTACAGATAAGAATCTACCTCATTTAATCTTTCAGAGTTAGGTGTTCCTATCTCCATCTTATAGACAAGAATCTACCTCAAAGTATTCAGATAAGTAGCTTGCTCAAGGCTATGTAACAGCTGAGATTCAAATCCAGGTCCATCAGATTCAAACTCCAAGCTGCCTTCCCGTCCCCTGAATACACGTGTGTCAAACATCCTAGCTACATAAACATAAAATGCAAATAAGACAGGCAAATCATCTGACATGAGATATAAAACAATATAGCATATATATTCAAAGATTTGGATGGTACATATCTTCTTGTGTATGAAGATATTTATTTAAAATAAGTGCTTCTCTCCTTTATTCTTTGGAAACCTAAGGCCAGGCTTCTTGTCCAAACCTGCCATTTTCATACTTGTTGTTTGCCAGTTGTGTTTTTCAACCTCTTGCTGGTTCTGTGGCAAATATGCCACTTCATCTGACTTGCCAGATCATTTTAAATTCTTTTTCATAATGTTTTATAATATTTTTCTCATATTTATTTTAGACTTGGGGGTGTAAGAGCATGTTTGTTACATGGACAAATTGTGTAGTGCTAAGGGTTGGCTCTCAGGTGGCCCATTCTCCAGAAAGTATACACTGTACCTGATAAGTATTTCTGAACCCTAACCCTCCCTCTTCACATCCCCACTTTTAGTATTCCTAGTATTTCTACTTTTGTAGCCATTTTGTTCTCATATATAAGTGAGAACATGTAGTATTTGTATTCTCTTTCTGAGTTAGTTCACTTAGTTTCCATGCTGCTGCAAAGAACATGATTTCATTCTTTTTTATGACTGCATAGTATTCCATTATGTGCACGCGTGTGTGTGTGTGCACGAACAGGTATATCGTAAATATAATTATTTATTTTCCTTTGGGTAGATCCCTAGTAGTGGAACTGCTGGGTTATATGGTAATTCAATTTTTAGTTCTTTAAGAAATCTCCACGCTGTTTTACATAGAGGTTGAACTAGTTTACAATCCCACCAAAACTGAATGAGTATTCCCTTTTCTCTGCAACTGCACTAATATTTAACGTTCTTTGACTTTTTAAATAATAGTCATTCTGCCATGTCATGTTAAATTCTCCAGCTCAGGCTATTAAAGCTGTCTGCTACATACACTGGAAGACCAGTGTTCTCACAGCTTTTTCCTCAAAGGGTCTCCATGGTCCACTCAATGAAGCAGTCCCTGTCATTCGTCCTTGATTCCCACTCATGACTGGCATTCACACAAGTTAAATCAGCACCCTTCCATGGTATCTGCCATCTCTACCTCCTGATACTACAGTAAGCCCCCTACATACAAACAAGTTCCATTCTGAGAGCATATTTGTAAGTCCAATTTGTTCATGAGTCCAACAAAGTTAGCCTAGGTACCCAACTAACACAATTGGCTATGTAGTACTGTATTGTAATAGGTTTATAATACTTTTCACACAAATATACATAAAAGGCAAACAAAAAATAAAGAAAACACTTTTAATCTTATAGTACAGTACCTTGAAAAGTACAGTTAGTAAAACAGCTGGCATATAGAGACAGCATCAAGTAAACAGGCAAGAGGAGTTACTGGCTGGAGGAGGGAGAGGAGGTGGAAGGTGGTAGAGCCGAAGGATTGTCAGCAATAGGAGACGAAGGGCAAGCTGCAATTTCACTCATGTCTGATGCTGACGGCACGTTTGCATCTTTGAAAGTTAGCAACTTGAAGGCTCAGATGTCAGGGACTTACTGTATTTCAGGTCTTGGGATCCCGTTCCCTTATTTATCCGATTACTGAAGAAGAGCTCCATAAAGTAGGTGAACATTCTTAATGGAAACTACTGGCTGAGCATCCTTGATCTGAAATCTTTCAAAATCTGAAATTTTTTGGAGTGCCCATGGGACACTACAAGTAGATAATTCCATACTTAACCTCATCTGATGGGTTGCAGTCAAAACTTTGTTCCTTGCACAAAATTATTTTAAAATAGTATACAAAATTACATTCAGGCTATGCATATAAGGTGATATTAAACATAAATGAATTTTGTGTTTAGACTTTTGGACCTCATCTTATCTTGAGTATTCCAAGATATTTCATTATGTATACTTAAACATTTCCAAATGTAAAAAAATCTGAAATCCAACACACTTCTGGTCCTAAGCATTTCATATAAAGAATATTCAACCTGTACTAATATTTCTAACTTGGACTGTTTCATAAAAGTAACTGTCTTAAGGGACACCCGCAGTGGGAAGGGGAAGGGGAAAGAAAACAGGAAGAAGAAAGGAAGGGAAACATATTTTAAACATTTATAATACACATGAATTGATACACGCAAAACACTTAGAATAGTGT